GCATGATCAGGGGGCAGCAGGGCAGGCCCTATGAAGAGAGGCTAAGGGACCTGAACCTGTTCAGCCTCCCCAAGAGAAGGCTGAGGGGGGATCTAGTGGCCTATTACTAACCAGTCAGAGGGGACCAGCAGGCACTGGGGGAGTCCCTGTTCCCCCGAGCACTGCCAGGAGTGACTAGAAATAACAGTCACAAGCTGGCAGAGGGTAGATTCAGACGAGACATCAGGAGGCACTACTTCACTGACAGGGCGGCTAGGATCTGGAACCAATCTCCAAGCAAAGTGGTGCTGGCTCCTACCCTGGGGGTCTTTAAGAGGAGGCTAGACGGACACCTTGCTGGGATCGTTTGACCCCAGTACTTTTTCCTGCCAAGGCAGGGGGTCGGACTTGATGATCTGCTCAGGTCCCTTCCGAGCCCACAAACTATGAATATAAACTATGAACCCCTTCCCCCACAACAAACTTACTAGCCAGACACCACTCTCTATGCTGCCCAGCTGCACACTGGAATCGGACTGGTATCAGCTGACATGGCTCACTAAAAATCAGCCATTGGTATCAGCCCAAAAAATCTCCATCAGTCCACCCCTAGTTTTTTTGACCCCAGGATATCCAGGGGTCAAAAAAAAAAGAAAAAAGGAAAAAAGTGGAGTAATGCACGCAGCAAAAACCAGAGCCCAGCCAGCTGGAGCCACCCTTCGCTGCCAGCCAGGCTCCACATGGCAGGATTGCCGCTGGTGCAGCCCTGGGAGTCCCCCAGAACCCCAGGTAAGGCTACTGGGGACAGCCCTAAAGTAACTTGCCATGTGCCAGAGTGTACGTGGCACAGGTGTTCCCCAGGGACAACCAGCAGCAGCACAAGGTGCACTGCTGTTAGCTGCTCCTGGGGAGCCAAGTGTTCATATGTGTCTGGACACAGCCAAGGAGAACAAGGAGTTGAAAATTAAATACATTTAGAAATAGGGCAGCCTCATTCCACACCAGGCGCTATTTCTTGCATACAGCCCTTTCCAATGGTGTACCATAATTAACAATAATTTCTCAATAGTAAAGGGATTGGTTCTGATCTTATGAAAACCCAAAAAGGCTAGGACGTGACTATTTTAGGGTACATCTACAATACTGATATTTTCTAATGAATACCGGAATTGGCTTAACTGAAACAAATTACATCCATAATACAGATCCAATTTTAGGTGATAATCAGACCGCTTTATATCCTCCATAACAGTGTCTACATTAGTTTAATGAATTAATTTTACTTAGGATTACCATAATTTCAGTTTAAAAAAAAAAGGCCACCTGCCAGGGGGGCGGGAGCAAGGATATGATTGTGAGGGGGCAGTGATATGCCGGTGACCTGCCCATGGAGTTGCCCCTCACCCCCAGGCTATAGCCCCCCCACCCTTAGCCCTGCTGCTGCCCCCCACTCCCAACCCATAGACGCCTGGCCCTGCCAGTGCCCCTCACACCAACCCATAGTATCCCAATTCCCAGGCTCTCTCCCAACCCACAGTCCTCCATCTCTGCTGGTGCCCTTGACTCCTGACCCATAACCCCCGGCACTGCTAGTACCCTGTACTCCCGACCTACAGTCCCTTACCCCTCTCCCTGGTGCCTCTCACTCCCAAGCCACAGCCCCCTCAGCCCTTCACTCCTGACCCATAGTCCCCTGCTCCCCCGAGCCCTGCAGTGTCTCCTGGCCACCCCATCCCTGTGAGCAAGGGCAACAATCCTGATGCTGCAGGTACGGCCATGCAGCTCCCCGGCCCCTTCCTCCACTGGTGGGGCAGGTGGTTCCATCCCTGCACCCTCTGTGCTGCTGCAGCACCAGTGCCTGGACAGCATCCCCCAGCACTAGCAGGCACCTGCCCCCCCTCACACACATGTCCCCTCCACACACCCCTGCCACCCCTCCACCCCCACACACAAACTCACAAGCCCCACACAGCCCCCAAGCCCTGGTTGTCCAACCCCCACTCCCCAGACTTACCTGCACACAGATGCCAGGGCTGCTCCTACCACTTTGCCTGATGTGGCTGCATGCCAGCCACATGCGTGTGCACGTGCAAATGAACATGGTGCCCCCTGCCTCCAATCACCTTATCCCCACTCTTCCCAGCCCCAAGCAGCTCCTTGCTAGGGCAAGCTGAGAAGTGCCAGGAAAAACTTTGATGCTGAGCAGACGAAAATCCTGGACATTTGTTCATATTTTAAAGAACATTGGATGGACAGAGATGGGAGGACACAAAAAGAGGACATGTCCAGGAAAACCTAGATGAATGGTAACCCTATTATGACTTAGAAAATACTCGTAGGATAGTCAGACATTCCCTTCCAGCCACAGTTTTCATAGATGTTGTCTAGAGCATTCAGGTTAACATCTTCCAACATATGTTCCTGGAGAACATAATCAAAGTATTTCCAATGCTGAGACTCTGCATTAATTTGTGCCATCCATATTTCCACCAGCACATATTTGTACTGTAAATGTCAAAATTTAGCAAGTGCAACCAGAGCTGTCCCTGGGGGGTGGGGTGCAAGTTTGGGTGACTACCCCAGGCCCCACGGTCAGTGCTGCATAGGCCTCACCACAACCACCACACACTGCCAGCTCCAGCCACTCACCCCCACCCCCGGCTCCACCTGCTCACCACCCCATCCCCAGGCCCCGCACAGGCTGATATGCCCCACAGACCTCTAGGCAAGGCCAACCTAAATAGGGTGTGGGGCCCCAAGGCAAATCAGCCCATGTAGGGCCCCTCCTCCACTTCGATCCCACCTGCCCTGGACCCAAAGAAGCTGCCGTCACCATTGGCGGAGGGAGGGGGTACAGTAGCAAGTGGCTGGACATGAAGCCAGTGGCAGTGGCAGAGTCACCGTGGCCACTCTGCCTAGCTCTGCAGGGCCTGCCAAAGTGGGGGGCCCAGAGTGGTGGCCCCAATTTGCGCCCCCAGGGATGGCTCTGAGTGCAGCAATAGTCACTGCAAAAATGTGCAAACTCTGTTAGTACTACTATATATTTTTCCACTTACATGCTCCCAAATAATAAATACCTAGTTTTTGAAAGGCAGAACAGAGAAAAAAAAATATTTTTCTAGCATTGGCTGCACAGGACAGAGCCTAATCTCAAATGACCCACCCTCTCTTTCCTGCATAACTGCAGCCAAAACCACAGCTACTCCTGAACAGTAGTCTCCGTGGGTGGCTCTACGATTTGGAAAAGCACAGAAGAGGCTGGGAAATACATCATTAACAGGCAGCAAAATTTCCCTAAGAAGTTTAGCCCAGTTAGGGGAGCATCAGGACCACTAAAAGGGAGATATGATCACTTGAGAACAATGATCTGCGCTGCAGCTGAGGGAGTCAGTTGATTTAACAAAGTACCACAGCTGCTGTACTGTGGAAGAGGAATCAAAGCAGGGTGCTTTTATTCTGGGCAGAAAAACAGCTCCTCCACTTAATACACACACACCAACGTTAGAGGAGGAAGGTTCACAGCCTCTTGAAGGCTCAGATTAAGTGTAGAAGAGAAAAAAAGGATGATATAAGCTCTGCCTGCCTTCAGCAGGGTTTCAGTTGTGCTTAAAGAGCCACACCTGCAACTGGTCACCAAAGGTGTTCTCTAAACCAGGGGTCAGCAACCCCTGGCACGCGTGCCTATTATGACACGCAAGGCCATTTTGCTCAGCACACTACTACCAGCCTGGGCTTTAAGCAGCTGCTGCCAACCATGGAGCCCAGGCTGCTCCCAGCAGGCGGCTGGGAGGCTGCAAGCCCTGCTGAGGCCGGGAGGCTGCACACGGTTGCTCCAGGCTCTAGCATGTCTGCAGTCTGGCACTTTCCAAGGTAGACATTGTGGTTTTCTCGGCAGTCCAGCCAAAAAACGTTGCCTACCTCCGCTCTAGAGAAATGCAACTACAACCTGGACACCTGACACACAGGACTGTACTTGCTCAACACCCGGTAGAGCAGTGGTTCCCGGCCCCTCCATAACTCTGGGGAATTGAGGCGCACCCTGTTGCAAAGGCTAATTTATCACCTCCTGGCAAAGCCCCCCGCGGACTGCACAGGCGCGGACGGCGCCCCTCCAAATACTCACTCACGCGCTGCAGCAGCTTTCTCCCCGCTGGTGCTGTCCAGCTCGCGAGACCCGGCGGCTCCACTTCCGCCTTCTTTCGGCCCCGCCCCTCCCCGAGCGCTCAGGGACAACACGCCCCACCCCTTCCGCTCGGGCCACAGTCCCTCCCCTGGTCACGTGTCCCTACAAGCCCTGCTCCGAACGCCCAGTTGGTTGTGATCCCGCCCCTTTCCTTATCCTACAAACTTGAACATCAGCTTCACCCCTTCCGTCTTCCTTATGGCGTCATTTTTAGGCGTTTCCAGCGCCCTCCTTTCGAGTTTCTAGGAGTCTCCCGCGAGCGGGGCTGAAATTCCGCCTGGAGCCCTGCCCACCTCTCCTCTCAGCCTATCGGGACGGGGCTCAAGTCCCTGGGCCACAGGGGGAAGGGGGCGGGGCCCCGGCTCCGGGCCCAATCGGCGTTAGCCGTTGGGCGGAGGACAGTCTCGCGAGAGTTGGCACCCGGAAGCCGGTTAGAGGAAGAGGAAGAGGAAGAGGCGGGAGTGGGGAGGAAGGCGGGGGTTCGCGGCTGTGGTTGTTGCGGCCGCGGCAGCGGGGGCGCGGCGCGGGGAACCAGAAGCTGTTGCTAGGGGCGGCGGCAGCAGCGGGCTCCGGCCGGTTTCGTGTCGGGCGGCGGTGCTGTGGCTCGGGCCGCGCTGTAAAATGGCGGCGGCGGCGGCGGGCGGGGGCGGTAGTGTGAACCCCTTCCTCAGTGACTCCGAAGAGGACGAGTCCGAGGAGCCGAGACCCGGCGGAGGCGGCGGCCCCGGGCGCGGCGGCCCGCTCTCCCCGCTGCAGGAGGCGGTGGCGGGGGGCAGCCCTGGGACGCTGCCGGGCCTGCGGGT